TTTGTGTCATGTGAGTTACCAATAAAAAAAACACATTGCCAATTGAATAGAAGCTCGTTTTGTAGGCCATTTTGTTGACGTTTAGTCACTTGATTTCAAGGGATCTTTTGTGACAAAAATCCACCCTAAATGATTTGACTTGGCAGAATAACAGCAGAGAGTTGACTGAAGACCCGCTCCAAATGTGACGAGAGTTACCATGGGATTGCCCATCATGTAACCCTCTTAGTATGTAACCTACCGGTACATACAAGTGAAAAATAAATGTATCTTCATAATACTACACTGTGTATTTGTGATACATTTCAAACTTTCCCCTCGGCAGTGGAATACCGAATAACTCATTGCAGCTCACTCCACAATCTTTTTTTTATATACTGACCTCAACCTTTTCATGACCGTACACGTATTTGATGCCCATACATCATGCAGTGATTAACTGCATGGCACGAGTCTTAAGAGATTGGTTATGATGAATTACATGTAATTAGACATGCTGTTTTTAGTCCCCAAGAGTGAACACAATTAGTGGCCAATATCAAGGCACAAAATGGTATCAGACGTAAATATTTCAAAACAAAACCAGTTTTGATCGGTTGTATGCAAGAGCGTTGAATACATGTACTTGCGCCCCTCACTTAAAATCAGTGAAAAAGCAAAAAAATTTCCCAAGCTACATTATGTACATCATTTTTGTTTGAACGAAAATGGTTGATGGTAAAAAATGTCTGTTTATTTAACCTTCTGCAGTGTACAAATACAATGTACATCTATAGTACATGTACATGTGTGTACACAATATGGCAATTAATTTTTATAAATGAGATAACTATCGTTGCCACAGTGATGAGAGCCATATAGTAGCCTAATTGACCTCAGGTAGAAACCTCAATGTCTGTGGTACTGGGGAATTTTAAACCAAGTTGTGGAGACTCTCCAATGTCTTGGACTTGTGTGTACGTATCCTGGCTATAAGGTTTTGCGAATTAGTGAATTTGAAAAACAATAGACCTTACATGTACATGTACATTCTCCTTTATTTTCAGGCTTCATATTGTCCTTATTTTTCATGCGCTTATGTTACATTTGCCCAAATGAAAACTTGAGCTAAACATTTTCTTGGGGGGGGGGGGAGAATATTGTACATACAATGATACAGGTGTACATGTACATGTACATAATATAGCGGTATGTCTACAGTAAGTTATTCCTTCATTTTGCATAATTAATGCTTGCTTTTGTCAGCATTAGTTTATCTTTCTAACCTTTTTCTGACCAAATATCACTTGAAAACCAGGCAAACAATTATTGAAGTGTTCTCGTGATTATTAGACACGGATTGAAGGTCTACCGGTAAATCAGAAAAATTATCTTGACAGTGCTGCCATGATTGAATTACTTGCGCTGATTGAAAGCCAAAAATAAACAGCATTTTGTGTTCAATTTCCTGATGCAGCAAAGCCTGGAACATTTCTTACCAGATTATACATGTGCTAAACAAAAACCAGCTAGGAGTATTACAATAGCAATATACAAGCAAGCTTATAACATAATGTTCTTGCCAGCACTTTTCCCTGTGTAAGTGCCATTCCATGTTTAGAGCTCATGTACATGTAGCTGATTGGGGGAGGGGGATTTTTATTTACAGTTATTTTTCTTTAAATGTTGAATCAGAGATGGAATAACGACAACTGTCTTTAAATCAAGGCTGTATAACTCCTTTCCCTCAACAGATCTTGGAAATATTTATAGGAAAGAAAGAAAAGGAAAAAAAAATACATGCTTAGGCCAAAAAAAAAAAGTCTCTGGTTTCTGGTATGGAGCTTGCCCCAAAAGTGGTTCGGCGATGCGGCTTTTTTTTTTTTTACCTGTTTTTTTTTTTTTTTTTGGCTTCAAATGTCGGCTGATGACTGCAAATGGTGCCCGACTAAATGTAGTGCAAATATATGGGAGTCCAGAGAGGCCACATAAAGCTTATTCTCGATCATAACCCCATCTAAAAACACGTTAAAATTGTGCAGCAGCAGGATTCCAGTCAAACCAGTGAGTTTGGCGGTTTTGAGACATCATCTTGTATTGAAAAAAAAACTTTTTCATTTTACCGACGCGCATGGCTACGGCGACGCGCGCGCATATCAGAAACCGGAGACTTTTTTTTGTTGGCCTTAACTGCCGTAGATGGATCTCAATCCTGTCTAGAGTGAATACATGTAGGTGGGCACAAGATACAGGTAGCTGTACATTGTAGCCCTGGTAAGCTGTGTTATCATGCATGTACCGGTACCCTTGTTTTTATGTACATGCCATATTGAAAAGAATCGGGAGTGATGACCAAACTGCAGCTTTGGGACGAAAAGTTAGAGAAATTTCACCGGGAGAATTGGAAGAGTTTAAATTTTTGTCAGGAAAATGTTTTTATTGTTTAAATAAGTTAAAGGAAAGATACAACATTTGCAAACATCACAAAACTTCAGATTGATCAACAAAAGATCAGATTGTCACAAAATACCCTACTGGATTGTAAGGGAATGACAGTCTAAAGCATCCTGTAAAATCATGGCTCCTGGTGTGTTGACATTTTCGAGAAAAATTGATTTTTTCCAATGCTGGTCGGCTGACCAGCGTTGGAAAAAACTGGCTTTTTTCAAAAACTGTTTGCAAGCTCTTTGCTGCAAAAACTCTTTGCGATTGATTACACACCTGTGAAGGGGTACAAGCCTGCTAGACTGATTCTCTGACCTTACAATTCTCCAAAGTCTATAAATTCTCTGTTTCATCTTAAGTGGGGTCAGGGAATCAGACTACAAAAACATGAATGTTTTTCTTGTTTTTTTTTTTAGCATCTATGAGCCCAAAACGTGAAACAAGTCGTTTTAACAATATTTGCTACAACATACTAACCCTCCAAATCCATTTATTTCTGAAAATTAAAGCAAAAGCAAATGTTGTACAAATTAACCAGTATGCAGAATATCAGGCCGAATGATTCCGATGAAAGAAACGAAAAAAAATTTCAGCAACTTTTTGCAGCGCATGGTTGAAAGGTTGAAAGCTCTAAACCCCTGTCCCCTGATCGGCCCAGCTTGGAATGCGGTATTCATGAAAACACAGACTTCTTGGTTGATATTCAGTGAACTGTGACCAGGTCCTGGGACAGCAATCGTGCATGAAGGAGAAATATATGTTTTCCAGCCCCGGCTGATGCATGAGGAGTTGCTTCATTGTAATAGCGCCCTCTTGTGGGCAGTAAACGGCATTCAATTTTAATGTGACCTCATGAAGATTACAAATGGATGGGCTAGGCACTTAGGTGTGTGCATGACAAGTAGGCTGAATAATGTTGGGGCTTTCTTCATGATTGCGGCTTTAAATATTCAATCAGAAGTCATGGTGTTTTTTCTTTTCTTTTTTTCCCCCATTATATTTTTTATCATGAAAGTTTTTCCCATGGAAACGGAATAATTTGTGAATGGTCATGTTCTTGTATGCATATTTTTGCTGGGCTTTTGTAGGGTTGGTTAGAATATCCATGGACATGTAATTGGAATGTCACCACTGGAAAGTCTTGTCTTTTGTGTGTGGTTCTGTACATACAATGTATGTCTTTTTTTTTTCGTTTGAAACTTTTTTCTTTTGTTGCTAGTGCTTTCAAAAGAATATAAAGATGGTTTTCTGAAATGTCAGTTTATACAGATATTTTCCCCCTGTGATTTAGGGGTTCTCTTTACAGAAAAACTATTCATTTGTACATGTAGGTGTACATTTAATGTATGCATATGGTACACATGTACAAATTTATGTAACACTATCGTACAGTATTGTCTAGCTACATGTAGCTTACTTGAAGTACATGTATTCCGGAGGGAAACAATTATATTCATGGATTACTGGTACTTACCAGTACATCATTTCAGTTTCATCTGCTAGAAATTAATAACTTTTACTTTAATTTGTTTTTTGATATTTGTAATTTTACATACATGTACCAGTATCTGCTGTTGAGTGTTGATGCAAATACTATTTTGTGTAATTAGAACAGTATTTTTGAGTCCAATTTTTTTTAAAGTAACTTTAAATTAGGTTCTTTGCAGATTAATAATCCTCCAATTTTAATACGATTTTGCATACCCCCTAGGGAGTTAGGGCAATGGTCAACGTTGCTGGAATTTTTGCTTTGAAGAAAACCTTGATAAAAGAATCAGTATTATTATTCCCTACTGACGCATAGAAGAATTATTGGTACTAAAAGCAAGGTTAATAATTGATTAACCTAAATAAGAGAGAGCCAATTGCACAGAATATCATTTGGTGCCCCTACACACCACTGCATATATGTAATACTCTCCGTCTGAGCATTCCACTCTTTTGGGTGGTAGACAGCCACCATCTGCACATTATAATGATTCAGTGCTGCTCTCAGCCTACCAAGATCAATGGCTTTGCTGACTGGTCATTAACAATTACTGCCTGATGTATAATTTCACATCTGTGTCGCAGCGTGCCGATCGTGTTGGCCTCAATCCATTTCTCTTTAATTGAAGCCACATCGCCGTCTCTAGTTATCACCCGGGATCTAGCCAGTGCGGAATTTTAAATTTACAGGTTTATAATGTACATGTAAGCGACAGTGTGCATGACGCCAGTGTGTGAAGCACGAAGGATTACACCTTCTTGTAGGCCCCTTTCAATAATTACACCGTCCCCGCGTATGCGTTTGTGGGAGACTTGCTCCCAGCCCTGCATTTAGTCAATTCATTCCGTCTACTACTGCAAACTGCAAGGCTCTCCCTTCCGCGCCATGATGTCTTGTAGTTGTAGCCGACGTGTTGAACTAGGAGATGATGCCATGGTAATTTGACGGAGGCCTGCTTCACTCCATGGTTTATCATCGTCATTAACATCGGTGGCCGGAGTGCACGCATGCAGGAACCCATGCTTGCATGCAGGGGAAGTACACTGCTGGTGTGTGCGTGTACATGTACATGATTGTGACTGAGTGAGGAGAGTGTATTCTAACCGTAGGGGCCGCCACCTTTTCTTTCGTTCCGCATTAGAATGCGTCTCATCACTGGATGACGGTGGAGTCTGCCGCTCTCTCAGGGAACCAGTGAAGGAGTAGCCAAGACGTATGGGCCAGAATTTGCCTCGCTGTTGAGTAGTCATACATATGCTGGATTTCTCCGGTACAAGGAGTGTCCTGTTGCTGATGAAATTCCAGCAGAGACACAAACCAAACGGGCTGAGACATCGATGCGTTGAAGTAGTATGCTTTTGGGAGTGTATAGCCATCTGATTGCCTTCAAGGTTATGGCAGACCCGCATTGCAGGATTTGGCTCGCATTTACAGTACAACTTGACGGCAGCAAGGAATTATATTTTTGGTTTTTGTCCAAGTCCAACAACAGCCTTACAAGCTTTTGAAGAACAGCACTGCAGACTTGCGCAGGGAAGCGTGGAAAAGACATCTTCGAATTAAACTTGACTGTTGATTTATTGTTGTAACGGAGAAAGGGCGGAATTGTGTTCTGTGGTGTCACATCGTTTGCTTCATTGGTTGACTCGCTGGCCATGACTTGGACCCGTAAGGACCGGGGATCATATTCATCAGTGAGCCAGTTTGATCCAGATTATTTCATGTCAACTGACGAGGTAAATGATCTTCATTCATGTCTTCAGAAGTCATAAAAATAGAGTATTTGAAGGACCTGCTCATACTGTGTTCCTTATAAATTTGCATTAGTTTGATAATGGAACTTATGAATTATATTTAATTAACGATAAAGTTTTTAAAAAAAATTCCAGCCAGAAAACTTTAAAAAATTCAAAAAGAAAATAAGGGGGAAAAAGGAACGCACTAAAAATTCCCAAACCTCTTTCACAATCGCAAGTACATGTACTGCATAAATGGGACAAATTAACACAAACATGAAAGAACTTTGTGATTACATTGTAATGATAATAATAACAAGACAAACTTTTGTATTATTAGGAAAGTGGATGATTGGTTTTTGAAACAATTGATACAAAAATAAATCGTCTGTTCAATTATCAAACTGTAGCCAAAACATGAATGATTAATCAATCAAAAAACGAATTGCATACTTGCGGGTCTTATATGGCTACCTGTACATCTACATGTACAATGTACATGTATGCATGACTATATATTTGTACATTCCCTATTAACATGAATGCACTTTTCCCTGCACTTGTGTGTCTACATTGTTGGCCATTAAATTTTAATCATTATGAGTTATGATTTGATATATGTAGCTGTTTAACAGCATTTTATTAATCATTATTATTTTTTTACATACATGCAGGTACATGTACTACACTGAACATGTACTTTTTCAGCACAACTTTTCTGTTCATAACAGCATAGGTGTGGTTTCTTTTGTGTCTTCATGTGAAATCCATCACCAGATTACTGAACAAGTTGAACATTTACATGAATGTGTACATAATGTATGTCATTAATCCTCACATTGATTCTAGTGACTTGTAAAGTTTATATCAGAATAATTAAATAGTATTGGATGGCTTTGAGGGGGGATACAAGAATATATTGCATGAGCTATAATAATATTGCACGGGTCGAAGATGAGTGCAATATTGTTATCAATATCAGGCTGACTTGATGTCACTGTCTTGTAAAAAGTGCCGGACGCTTCCTCAGTACTTCTAACATTAAAGGGATATTCAACATTTGCGAACATCAAAAAACAAAACTACCAAATTATTATGAAATACCTCACTGGACTGTTAGTGAATGACAGTCTAAAGCATCCTGTAAAATCAGTGCTGACATTTTTAAGAAAAGTGGTATTTTTGTATCAATTTCCAAAGCTTGTCGGCCGACCAGCGTTGGAAAAAACTGGCTTTTGTTCAAATACTGACCCCAATTTACCATATTTAGTTAGTCTGAATTTTGTTTGCAATCAATTACACACGTACATGTATGAAGGAGTACAAGCCAGCTAGACTGGTTCCCAGACCGTACAATTCCACGACGTCTATAAATTGCGACATCTATAAATTGCTCCATTTCATCTTAAGTGGGGTCAGGGAACCAGACTACAAGAACATGATTTATTTTCTTGGTTTTTCCAGCATCTATGAACACAAAACTTCAAATAAGTCAGTGTAACAATATTTGATATAAAATATTAACCCCCCAAATCCATCCATTTCTGAAAATTACAGAAAAAGCAAATGTTGTATATATTCCCTTAACTTCAACAAAGTACCCGCTAGTGAAAGCTTTTCCAGCATCTCACAATCCGTCAGTAGCTTCTTCTCAGGCAGATAAATTGTATGCTCATGGAATATCTACTAGTGTCATCTTGGTCGCTTTCAATGTATTTCAGCATCTTGAGTTCTCAAATCGAATTCTTCGTCAACCGAAGCGAAGCTTGCACTGCTCAAAGCTGCCATTTTTCTTGACGAAACAGTACAGAATGCGCGTGCGCGACCGCTACTCTCTATTTACTAGTGAACAACTGTGAGTTTTTCACTCTTGATTAATTGAGCGGGAACTAGCAAAAGTAGTTAAAATGTCCAGATGAGGACAATATCAAAGATAATATTGTCGTCATCATGATCCGGGTACTTTTTCTGACATGATATTGTAGTCATCCGGGTTCTTTTTACGAAAGTGCTACACTGATTTGTTTAACAACTGGCACTAGCCTGATGGTAATATGTAATATTGATCTGAAAACTGGCCTTGAAATTTGCAGATATTTGCTCACGTATACATGTACGTATTCTGATCTGTGTGATAATGGAGCTTTGCGATGGATTTCGGCGGTTTGAAGGATTGTTGTTTTCAGATCCTCTCATGAATGCATACATTGTAAATCACAAGTGTGTTGGCATGGGCCGGTACATGTACATTTTACATGTACATGTATGCCATTCATGTGTAGGAGATATGATTAATGTTGAATTCTTCAAAATCACATGTGGAACGGATGGAACCATTAAGTTGATGTTAATAATGGAATGGAAAAAGCTGCATTTATGAAATATATGGATCATTAACTTCATACAACTGGGGTTATTACTTCATACAACTGGGGTAATTAACTTCATACGACTGGGATATTAACTTCATACAACTGGGGTTATCAACTTCGTACATTATGAAAGCAGGGATTTAAAATTACATGATATGTAAAATATTCACGTACATGTACCGTAACTTGTGTTAAGTTGTTAAAAACCAAATTTAATGGGAAAAAAATCTATTAATCATGAAAAAAAGTGTTACTGCACTGCTTCTTTGTACATGTGCATGTCAAGGATTAAGTGAGGCAGGATTAATTTTTGGTTGACGTCCAAGGTCGAAGAAAGACCTCTACCCAGGATCCTTCACCTTTTGAATATTGTTAATGGAGAACTTGTGTACTTCCAGTGTGACATCAATCAATTTAATGATGTCCTAAATTGCCTCCCACAAATGACAAAAGGACACGAGTGATTTGCTGCTGGCCCTGGACCTGCGATCATGCAACAAAAAGAATGACGGCAGAGCCAACTGTACCTTACGTCAAGTTCTACATTACAAGAAAAAAGACCGGGAGAAAAAAAAACTGCAGAAGCTCCTTGGCCTTTCCCTGACATTTAATGCAAGACACATGTTCCGGTTCATTGGCACTGTCGCCATGGTGATCAGGGTTGCCGTGGTTACTCCTCTCCTTGGATGCATTTTTTTCCCATTTGTGTTGGAGGAGGAGGGAATTCTCGACCCCGCTCTCGCACATTGACATTTGGAATGACGGACAAGACCTGGCACATTTGTTGATGAATAGGTGAATACGTACTTTTTATGTTTGTTTTTGACATTACCCCAGATGTCTTGATGGTGAAGTTAATAGTGTTGATTTACCCTCAATATAAACTCATTCACATCTTGTTTGCTCAGGCGTGCCATACTGCACTTCCCAACAATCTTCAGTTTTCCTGAATGTTTTTTTTTTAACTTAAATTTAGGTGACCAACAACAAGGAGGCAGAATTTTACTTGTACAGGTGGATGCACCGTACAGGTATCCATGCACATTTTTATAATGTACAAATACATGTTAAGGCTGGTGTGTACTTCACGTGAATGCAAAATATAAAGTGAATATGATGTCACGAAACATAATTCACAGCTGAATTTGCTGGAGTTGAAATAGGTTCAACTTTTGCGTAAATTTGCATATTGTGTGTATTAAAACCTGAATAATTGACTAAAAAAATTGTGGGGTTTTTGTTTCTGTTTGGCTCTCTATGTGTCATATGGTACCTGGAAGAAGGTCGTAAAAGCGAAAAATGGGTCAAAAGGTCAAATTCAGATTGTTCGGGTAATCGATAGAGCTTGGAAATATCTTTCATTTGATATACATATTGTCTCAAGGGGCAACGTCATTCTGACGTAATTAACAGTAAACAAAAGATGGAAGAAGGAATTTCATTATTTGTGCCCGGCAAAAGGTCGTAAGCGTGTAATTACAATGTAACAAAAAATGTTCGAAGCGACCTAGCGTCCCACTCAAGTGGGTACGCAAGCCAATTTTGTTCCCGGCAAAAGGACGTAAGGATTTAACATATTAGTGTAAAAATTGAAATAACTTCACAATGAAGTAATATTTTGACTTAAAAGGCACAATATTATTTTAATTAATAACGAATGCCATCAGTCAAAATTTCGACCTTATGCGATTTTTAATCTAAAAATGGCAGCACATAACCTTTCAACTTGATTATCTCCAAAAGTCCTTTTAGCATGCCTGGGCAGCTTACGTCCTTTTCCTTGTCACACGATGATTTATGGTAAGGTGTGCGCCACTCATGGAACGTATACATTGAAAAACATCTTATACTTAGAAGTTCTGGGTTTACATTTGTTACTAATTAATGGTGCGTGGGCACCCAGCATTATGGTACCGGTATGTACATGTATCTGTATGCTGTTCCAAAGTTAGCCATAAACACACAACCCTATTTTTTGCATATTTTTATTGCTCTTTTAAAAGGAATATACAACATTTGCAAACATCGAAAAATAAAACTACCAAGTTTTTGCGAAATACCTTAATAGGATGTTGGTAAATGACAGTCTAAAGCATCCTGTAAAATTATGGCACCTGGTATACTGTCATTTTCAAGAAAAGTGGTATTTTTGTATCAATTTCCAACTCTGATCGGCCGATCAGCGTTGGAAACAACTGGCTTTTTTTCAAATACTGGCCCCAATTGACCATTGCGCTTGTTTGCAATCGATTACAAACCTATGAACGGGTACGAGCCAGCTAGACTGGTTCCCTGACCTTACAATTCCCCAATTTATGTAAACTGCTCAATTTCTTCTTATATGGAGTCAGGGAACCAGACTACAGGAAAATGATCGTTTTTCTTGGTTTTTATAGCATTTTCGAACCCAAAACCTCCAAAAAGTCAGTGTAACTATATTTGCTTTATATTTCCAACCCCCCAATTCCCTCCATTTCTGAAAATTACAGCAAAAGCAAATGATGTATATTCCCTTTAAATGCACAATTAGGGCCTATTTACATGTACACTCTGCACTGTATTCACACCTACCGGTATTTGCTTTGTGTGCTACAAATAAATATGGCATTTGTAAATTTACATTTACGGCCCGACATGAAAATTGATTAGCGCATCCGCAGTGCATCATTGTTTGTTTTCCCAAGGACACATATCTTTCAGCCAGATGTCTTGTGAAATAATTATTGTTTATTTACTCTGTGGTATTGTAGAGCAATTAAGCTGTTAATTGTAGCACTTTCGAACACATTGTTTGGCTTGTTTTCTAGAGTTCTCTTTGCAGTTGTGAATTATTATTATTGTTTTGGGGGAAAAAATCACAGGAAAAAAATCCAGCTCTGTCAATTTTTTTTTGTTCCCACAAGTCATAGAAGTTCCCACAAGTCATAGAAATAATGCTAACGCCCCCCACCCCCCTGCTCTTACAGCCAAAAATAATTATAGGTATTTATATTCCTGTGGCCAAATTACGGACAGTGCCTGCTTGGTTAGGGGGTATTTGTACACTAGCCTGTACTATAGTGTTCATAATCGTCGCATTTGAACTAGCTCCCATTTAAAGTATGGTACGAGCCCCCCCCCCCCCCCCCCCCCCCCCCCTTCTTGATTTTGCGGAGCCTAGTGTCCGGACAAAAAAAACCTGTCTACATTTCAGCCATGATTTACTGATGAACCCCCCCCCCCCGCAAAAAATCCTGGATCCGCCCCTGCCACAGCCACAGCATGCTGCATTTATATTGAAATTAGAGCCCACATCAAGTGCACATAGACCCTAATCACAGGACGTATAATTTGTTTATGAAAATATTTTACCTGATCGATTTTGGCAGTAATAATAAACATTTATGAACCGCGTAACATACATAAACATGTAAATGGACAAAGTATAGTACATTTACTCGGTGCACTTTCGTGAATTTCTCATGCAGTGCATTATCGGTTGCCTGAATAATGGAATTTTTATGTGAAGTTGTGAGGGCATACCGTATAAATGTGCCGGTAGGTCAGTATTCTCGTGACTATGTAGGTGAGTTGACTCATTACATTTTGATTAAAAATGTCCATGTCTTCAGTGAAAAATTTTGACATGAAGTAAAAATAAAATTGTATGGCAGCATGGAGTGGGATTGTATGCATTTACTATTTCTGAATGGACACAAAATACATTTTCATTAATATATTGGCAAATATAATTTTAAAGGCAACTCTGTCTATTTCTCGGATCTGTGCGCAAAATATTTATCTACATTTACGTGTACAATTGTACATTGTATTATTAATAGATTTACCCTGAAGTGAAACCATTCTGCATGTGAATGGAATGCTTTTACAATTGGAACAAATACACACACACATTTTCCAATTAATATTTTAACAGTTGGCTAAATTTTGAAACATTAATATTTTTCTAGTGAGGATATTATTTGAGTTTTTTCCTTAAGCTTTTCCTTGCCCCAGTTTGTTTCAGATCCAGTTGTGCATAAGATTTGCATGCACATGTGTATGCACTTGCACATATTTACATGTACATGTTCCCCCTACTAAATGCAAGATGGTAATAAGGATGCATGCAAAGTGAACAAAATGTCTCCTCTCCGCTTTCAGAAATGCTCGGTCATCGCTGTCTTAATTGTACCTCAATCAGTGCAATGTCAGTGTCAGCCAAGTCCTTGCATACTGCACTGTAGTTTGTCTTTCACCCCTTAGATACCTTTGATATTAAAAATAATGTAATTTTCTATCACTCCCTAATTTTATACCTCTGGTTCTTTTCACAACCATTCTTTTTAGTTTGAGAAATTTATTCCCACATGGTGTTTCCGCAAACTAAGTTCATTTATCCCTAATTTTACCGATCCATTTATTTATCAACAAGTGTATTTATAATAAATTGGAGCTTGAAGTGACATGTACATGTTTACTTGATCATGTAATTTAATGTACATGTACATGTTCATGTAGGTTCTATCGGGTCTCATTTACAGCATACTGGTTATTTATATTTTTAATGTAAAGAACTTTATACTGTCAAAAGTACACGTCCAAGTAGGTGTACGCAATGAAAATATTAAACTCGTTAGGAAAAACTGGTTAAAATTGCCATGGATTAATTTGCCAAATTACCATCAGGGATTTAAATAATTGTGATGTGGCGCTGTAGAGACCAGTATGAAACCAAAAACGGCCTGCAACAGCAGCCACACTATGGTGAACCCTTCCCTCAAAACCAACCAATAAAATCAGTTTTCAACATGCAAGCTGTATTTTGCTGTCCACTCTTGTTGGTTCTGCCAATTCTACCTCTGTGGTTCTGCATACGTCAGTAATGCGTGTATGGAAAGTCAATTTACAGGGGGGGGGGGGGGAAGAAGACAGCAATATGGAGAGGATCGTCATACCGGTACTTAGGATTACACAAAGCGGAAATGCTAGATTGTCATTTAAATAAGAAATAAAAGAAAATACTTATTGGCAATTGTTTCAGGCACATTACTACCATTAACTTTTTAATTTCCCCATTCTTAACATTAGTACCATACGTACATGTATCTAAATAAAATTGCATGGGCATACAAAAACGTCTCTTTAAACATTTCTTGACACTTGACCACTGAACAGTTTTCAATATATACCCTTTTTTGAAATTTGTTTTTAATCCACCAAACAATATACATTAACACTTAAATATGCACTTTTTTTTATACAGCACACTTGTCCTGTTTTTTTCAATGATAGAAAAATTTCATTCAATACAGTATCCAACACCATATTACAGGGAATGTTAGATGAAAACAGATATACACCAGTTGTAACCTTAATTCCAACTTGTACAGCATTGCCATTGTGCAATTCCCACAATACAACCGACTATTCCTTTTGTGAATTGTCCACATTGATATTGAATACACGGCCAGTTGTCACTGCCAAGTACATGTACATGTACATGTACCTTTCCCAATGACATGCATAATTAGGCAAAGCCTACTGAACATGTACGGAGCATGGTAATACTACCCTGGCATTGCCCTTACCAGGTGATGTCATTTTTCTTTCCACGCATAAAATTTCTGTATGGATTTTACCATGCCTTGTTGCACGTACAGATACCGGTACATGTATTGACGTTTGTAAGGATTAGTCGCATTGACTTATAAATAAATAGAAATTGTACGACAGATGATCAGGGATCAATAGGGGCACGCTATTTTTAGCGGTGTATTAATCTGGCTCCTGGTTTTACGTGAAGCAGTAGTGTAAACAACGTGCATGTAGTGTTGCAGTCCATCACAAGTCCATCACAAGTCCATCACAAGTCAGTCACAATTCCATCACAAGTCCACCACAAGTCAGTCACAATTCCATCACAAATCTGTCACAAGTCCATCACAAGTCCATCACAAGTCAATCACAAGTCAATCACAAGTCAATCATAAGTCAGGCACAAGTGTGTCACAAGTCTGTCACAAGTCCATCACAAGGCCATCATAAGTCCATCACAAGTCCATCACAAGTTGGGTCAGAGTTAAATCACAAGTCCATCACGAGTCAATCACAAGTCCATCACAAGTCCATCACAAGTCTATCACAAGTCAATCACAAGTCTATCACGAGTCTGTCACAAGTCAATCACAAGTCCATCACAAGTCCACCACAAGTCGGTCACAAGTCAATCACAAGTCAATCACAAGTCGGGTCAGAGTTAAATCACAAGTCCAATCACAAGTCTTGTCACAAGAAACAGGGGATGACCAATAACCACAAGGGATAGGAATGCTTACATGTACGTTACATTTCATTTGTTAAAATCAGACACATCTAGGCAGAGCTTCAGAATGGGGATATAACCCAAAAATATAATGTGGAGCTGATTTTTTTTTTCTCGATTTTCAGGTGTTTTTTTCAAATTTGTAATTCTACATATGTCTGAAATATTCTGTGAAACTTTCAAATGGTATTTTGCCTTTAAAAAGCATTTCATTTTGTAACAATTCATAACTGATGTTACAACCCAAATGTTTATCAGGCAAGTTCTTTGTTCCGCCTTTGTGACATCAAAAACATCAATTGGGCTTATTTTTGCCAAGGAAAGTCAGTTTTCAAAAAACAAATAACCCAACACCCTAACAAAAAACCCACTGTCATTGTAAAGGAGATGATTCATTTGAACACCTAGGGAAGGAGGTCTAAATGTTGGTTTCTTTTTTGTCTTGAATGTTCAGGGTTCTGAGGACTCCAACTATGGCCGGCCGTCAGATTCAGATCTCTCGCTGGATGAGGAGAGAGAGGCTATACGACGGGAGACGGAGCGGCAGGCCCTGGCACAACTTGAGAAAGCAAGGGTAAGATACAATTACAAACATGAAAAACTGTCTTTGGAAGAAGCGTTGAGTGAAATGCAGTCTTACGAAAAGACGTTGTATAAGCAATCACCTGCTGCAAGAGGGCATTATCACTATGAATACTATCACCCACGAACAGCTATCACAACGTCTTGGGAATCTTGTAAAATTTCCCTCTGAATAATAGGGGCAACTAGTGCAAATGCGTTACTTCTGTAGGCACATTACGGTCCATTTTAGTCGCACACTTACTACATATGACAAAAGAGCTGTCATGAAGTTAAACAAAGTCGGTAGCAGCTTGTATGCTACTAGCTGAAATTTTGGAGTTTGGTTCAGAGCTAGGTGTTAAAAGCGTGCCGCATGCATAGCATCTTGTGTACTACTGGCTGACCTAAGCCTGCAGAACAGGTGCGCCCACATAACACAACCGCTACAAGAGTCCCAAGACAAGGTGAAATTCTGTTTTTACATCAAACATTTTTTCAGTGGTTATCATTTTGTCAGACCATACCCAGTCAAAATGTTGCCGCAAAAGTGTACATTCAAAATTAGACAAGGAAAATGTCCTGCGTTTGTCCAACAGGAATTTCACTCATTTTATCAGTATTATAAGGTCGGTTCATACTTCAGCGTGAAGTGTACGCAAACATGAATTTATAACATCACAGCAAATTTTCTGCGCTGCAAATTTGCAAACGTTGAACACATTTCAACTCCGTCGCATGTCGCAGCGATTGTTCTGTGAAGTCAGATTTGCTCAGCATACATGCCTTCGTGTGAAGTACTTGTATTAACCAGGCTGTAAAGAGTGAGGAAGGTGTGGCAGCAGCATCCTGAGAGAATCTGCCTGATGGGAATATTACAGTCATCACACTAGGCCTTGAAATTGCATTCAGATAAGCCGCGCTGCCCAAGGGTGCGGCATTTCTCATCTCCCACAGTTTTACAAGATACATGCGTTTCTTTTATTAGTGTAGTTTTAATCATCACCGTCCCCAACTCTCCCTCCGTCCTCCCAACTGTTGCCATAACCTTGGAGTCAGCGAGCGATGCGATCCCGATGGGTGTAGCGCCGCTGCGCCAGGACCCTAATGAAACGGAAGCTGACGTGAACCGACATGTACCAAATTAAAGATGGGGGGACATGTATGCAATTTGATTGATAATTTAATCGTCTTCTGGATTAGGGTCTGAGATACTCTTGTTGCTTGTCCAAGCACTGATGCCTGTAATGTGGAGGATGTTTTACATACAGTAATCACAGCGCGCTCAGAACATGTACCCACATTTAAAGCGTTCCATCTCCATATACATGAACAACTAACACTTTAAGATTTGTAATTTCAAAACAAGATTACCATAAGTTAATAATCTCATGAATAATAACTGAGTTCCTAACCTCACGATATGAAACAACTGAGCAAATCTTTTGTATTTTTCTCATGTAAGGTTTTTTTTATCAGAACATTTACTTTTTCTTCCAAAAACATGTTCATAAAATACATGTTTATGTACTTTGTGAGTGCCTTTAAATCAGCAATCTTTGATATGGGCAATTAAAATACAAATAAATGGTTCAGATTGTGACATTTTTCCTGTCCGTGTTACTTTTTGATTGTTTTCAATTATCATTAACAAGAATGACTTCAAACAATGTTTTATTTGTTGAGGAGGTATTTGGCTTTTTCTCAGTGTATTGGAGTTGGAGTAAGAATTATATAGTCATAGATGTCACATGTACATGTATGTATATGTAACAGCTGGCACAGGAGAAAAAAAATGGACCCCAAATTTATAAATGACCCAAATATGTGATGCAATCAAGCCAAATGAGTCGTTTGTCTGGAACTTTCATGTGGAGATTCATGCCAAAATAGGGCCACTTCATCATATCTCTTGGTGTTCCGACTCCCATAATTTTTGAACTAAGATGGCGATGGTATCAGCATGCAGTTTTCACAGCAGTAATGCTGAGATTGTGCTCTTTTCAAATCTGTAAAAACAAAAAAAATTATCAGGGTCGACATACGACTCATTTATCTTGATTGCATCACATATGCTTTGCCTTATCTGCATGTTCCGTAAACTTCAGGCTCATCAAGTATGCCAACTAGATTTCACTTGCAATAGATCAATAGGTCATCAGGCCGAACACTGCATATTAATGTGTGACGGCAGTGTGAAGTTATTTCGAAACTGAGTCTCTCCGCTTGCAACGTGTAGAATTATACACTACAGCAGTAGCCCATACCGGAACCTGTGTGGACATTGGACATGTCATGTAGCCAGCGTCAACATGTCCACGTAATGCTGCTCAACCTTTGCTGTAAAAATTGATCAAGCGTTGTAATTTTCCTTCTATGTTGACAGAATAGTCACTAAAATAAAAAGAACGGATATAACTGCACCTTCAAATTATTTGCATTCTCTTGGGGCAGCTAGAAGCCCCTAAATATACATGTGTTCTTCACTTGTATTAAAATGTATGAATATTATCTACGATGTACATTATGTACCTGTACATTTCGTGTTCAGTATAAATCTTTATGTAGAATATTTTGCACAAGGTGTGTTCCAGGGTATTGGTTAGGTACATGTATATGCACGTGTGTGACACTACCTTCATTTCAGGACACATAAAAGAAGTAAAATGCTCAACAAAAACCAGACCTACCGGTACTCTGCATATGTTCTGTTCTTGTTTGTGCCCATGCATTGTGGCCCTGGACTAGACACAAGCCATACTCGACATAGACACTTCCCCGACGCAGTGGGAATGGCCATGCTAATTTTGAATTTGCGTCATACCATCGCGCCATTGTGCTGCAGTAAATTGTAAATTACAGGCCTGTACGTGCTCGCGTTGGCACATGTCCATATGCAATTCTTTAAAAAAATAAGAATTTTTGAAGAGCGCATACATGTACTGTAAATTTGCACATGAGCTATTTTTATGGCTTCAGTATGTTCTTTTGTGATGAATTCTTGATGTCAGTAGGTATGACAAATCAAAACACAATTTTATTAAAAACCAATTTGTTAAATAACATATGGCAGCAAATTATTACTTTTCTAATTTTCTAAAGAACATCGGTGCATACATCATTTATTTCTCAAAGCACTAAGCTGCCAATAGAATTTACATGTACAGCCTGTCTCAAAAAAAATGGTACAATCAGAAAAAAAATTGGTTAAATATGAAATTTCAAAATAAGTCACTCTTACTTGGCATAATATTAAAGAACAAAGACTGGGCTTTCCAATAGTGTTTGTTTGATCTTATTTGCTTTTGTCAATTCAGAGATATAATCAATTTAGTGCGATACACCAAAATCGATTTTGTGCCACTTTTATGCATGGGCAGAGTTGTTTCGAGTACTGTGCCATGCTGTCTTGAAGCTCACAAAAGATTGCAACTTGGCAAAAGAAACAAACTCGATTTTTGTGTTCCGCAGTAAACTGGAGTTATCTCTGGATTGGCGAAAGCAAATGAGATGAAACAAAAAGTATTGGAAAGCCTGGTCTTTCTTCTTTAATGTGATGCTCAAAACGACTTACTTATGTTGAGATTTAATATTTAAAAAAAATTGTTTTCCATTGTACCATTTTTTTTTGAGACAGGCTGTACATGTACTTCACTAGGGTTTCCTCATTAAGGTAAATATCCAAAAGTGTTAATTGTGCTCTGTTTCAGGGATTCTTAACATCAATCAGTAATTCATTAGCCCTAACCCTGCTCAATCCTACAGGATCCAACTATATTATAAATCCGCTGGGTCCTGTTGGATTGAGCAGTAAACCCCTTGCACATGTATTCCTGTTGAAATCTGTTGGATTCAGCAGGCAACTGACATGACTGAAAACATTCAGAGTCGGATTCTGTTGGGAACTGGTAAAGAACGGCAAGTTGGACTCTGCTGGATCCCGCAGCAAACAGAAAAATAAGGCACAGTTAGATTCTGTTGGATTGAGCATGCCAGTTATTTTATATTTTCAGGTACCCAACAACTCGGCACATTGGGTTGTTTGGACAGTGGGACTGTGTTGGATTGAGCAGGAAACTCATTATGAGTAACCATCGGACTCTGTTGGATTTAGCAGGGTAGTCCTGGGGAACTACTAGGGCATATCGGTAGGGTAAAGAGGCGCCCAGCACCTTTATTATTAGGGGCAGGTTTTGCTTTAGTTGTAACCGTTTTTGTGTGTATTTTTCTCCTTTCCCAGTTTAAGCCATTAGCACATGTACTACATTGTATTTCATTGTGTTTATTCACCTTTTTATCATTGAGTGCTGAATTGGGCGGTTTTGGGCCTTAACTTTTAAATACACAAGGCAGTTTGGGGCGGTACAGTGACTAAAATGTTGAACCATTTTCTTGATAACAAAATGTTTCGTAACAGTTTGGCGTACTGGTACATGTATCCAAAATTCAGAAATTTCTTTTTTGTATACATGTACCTGAAGACTACATGAAATGAGTACATGTACATGTATCGGTACCAAGTCCAAGACAGTACTATTTTGTCAATCAACATTTTTACATGTACACGTAGGTAGGCAATAGCTGGCCACTATAAATATACAGGTCTGTGAAGCAAGCGCTTATTATGTTAAGCTTTCAATATTTGCCATAATGCGTGTAGCTGAAGCTGACTGCAGGTGAAATTCCCTAAAGCTTGATCAAGTGGAAATTCGCATTTCAGCACTCACCCTTGAAACCTGAGGAGTGTCCTGCATGTTAGGCAGTGTGATGTCAAAGGGATAGGCTACATGTACATTTACATGTATACAATGTATGTGCATTTTGAAATTGTACAAATTCAAGTTTTGGGTTTTCAGTTATTGGTAGACACTTGTACGATAGGTACATAAAAAGTACATACCTGCAAATACATCAGTTGGCACCTCGTCTCAACTTCCCCTAATCTCATCCCATAATTACATTGTAATTAAACTTCCATATGAATTATGCATGCTCTATACCCTACAGTCCACTTTCTCTTGATTTGTCACGTATTTCGATCACCGTAATTATGCAAAGACTGTAGCCCATTGATTGTATTATTTTGTGTTTGGAGTGCAGTTTCCTGTACACAATTCTTGTAGACATGCAAGTGATGCCTTAAGTGTTGACTTTCCAATGTTCATCACAATTGTACTGAAAGGCATCCCTACTACCCTTGGTATATGTATGTACATGTATCTGTGTACACAGCCTGTTAACCCCCCTCCCCCCTCCCGACATTCTTGGTTGGAATCAACACATGGACCCCGACTGCCGTCTGCCTGTATTGCGCGTTTGTTTACAACGGTTTTACTCCCGGGGCCATTCAATTATGCAGATGAGTCTACGGACGTCAAACGGCGCTGCCGTTGCCAATCTACATAGCCGTTTCCATCACTTCTCGGGTGTCTGTCTGGTGTGCGCATCAGGCATTAGAGGCCCATCATTCACACTGGTCCCCATAGCGGGGGGGACTGCCCAGGGCACTCCACAATAACATCGCAACATGCAGATGTAACGGCCCAGGCCTGTTATTACCTACCCGAGTAGAAGATGTTTATTGGCGCACTGGTAGTTAAATTTTGCAACAGCGAAAAGAAAAAAAAATGGAAGAGGAAATTATTTCATAGAGCTAACAAGATTTGGTCCGAGTAGCCTGTTAACCTATTGGTGTTTTGAGCGAGTGTGAGTGTCATTGTGTAAGGTGTGAAGTGTACTCTGTTTGATCAAGCTCAATTGGATTACAGTGGAAGCTTTCAATACTGCCAAGCCGAACTGGCATTTGCAATGGGTGGAGTTGATTACTAAAGGGATGTTGTGGAAATTTGTAAATCTGAAGCTACTGAAAATTGTGAGGTCGTTATCGGAGATAAAAAGTTTATTTGCGAAAATTCCTTTGTGGGAAATGTTAAAACCTTACGGTACATTGATGGATGCCTCGTACATGTACATAATTCACGTAATGCGCACGCGCTCTGGGCTTCCTCAACCAGTAGGGTTACAAACATGCGTGCGCACCCAGTATTTAAGAACATTCGCGGTATGCGCACGGGTGTGCACCACCTAAATATGGCTTCTTATTTTGTTTGGCGAATTACACTATAGACCATTATCATGTTGCGGCCATCATGATTTTTTCCCATTCAAATCAACGTAACCAAGAGACGCTGGAAGGCAAAATAGTCTGGTTCCTTTTTGCACAAAAATCGTTAACATCCAGTACTGTTATTGGATACTGGAAACATGACTGAAATGGTGGCAGCATGATAAAGGTCTCTACTGAGTGTTCCGTCACAAGAATATCGAGGGAGACTTTATATATTCATTCAGTGCACATCCACATATACAATGGCTCAATATTACTAATGAATCATACATTTTCAGGTTAATTTTGATTTCATGAAACTCTTGGGGAATTGTTTTTGTAATATTACCCCAGCCAGGTTGTTCCCCACAACATCCAACAGGGGTAAATTCTGTAACACTTTTTGTTGATCAGTCAGAGCAGGAATAGTTTGTTCCAAGTTCATTGTCAAACCACGAGGACATTAAATGAGAAGTGATTGAAGATACATGTACCGGTAGGACCATCAGGTTTTAATTTTATTTTCACTAAATTTGTGTCTGTTTCTCTTACTCTTTTCTCAGACAAAGCCAGTGGCATTTGCAGTCAGAACGAATGTAGCCTACGACGGGTCAATAGACGACGATTCACCTGTACAGGGCTATGCCATCTCCTTCAAAGTCAAAGACTTCCTCCATATAAAAGAGGTGGGTAGTACATGTATGGGCTCTGTGCACAAGGCACAATTTCACTGCACTGTTGAACAGTTAGCAGAAAAGTTGTTTTTTAGCATAGCAGAAAAATTTGCTAACCTTAAGCACTATTTCACGGCTTGGACGTGCTAACGGTCGCGCGTGCATGGAGATTTCTATTGTTACGTCACTAAGTTAAGCAAATGTTTCCTCTGAAGTAAGCGTACCTTTTGCTGTGCTTATGCTTACGGTCTCCATGAAATACACATAGATGGAGGCTCTGTTAGCAGAAAATGGTGTGCTTAGCAGCGCCGTGAATTGGGCCCAAGTATGCCCTCAATGGTAAGAAAGGGAAAGCTGGGGGGGGGGGGGGGAGGCACGATGCAGGACGCTCTTGCGAAGAGGCTGTGGCTTTGTACACATTGAAAACAATAAAAGTCATGCATACTTCGCGCTTTGCGCGTGCAAACCAGTACGCGCAGGTGGTGTGTCCCGTCCATGGGGCTCTCAAAAGTGGTAAAAAAAAGTGGCCCTCTTGTTGGGGCAAGGAGCCCATAGTGTCCATGCGATACTTTAGTTTGAGAGTACTGAAGGAAATAAAAGTTTGTGCGGTTTGATCTGGTGCTTTAGACAAAAATAAGCTTCCTGATAAGACCTCCCACCCTTAAAAAAAAGATTGAGGATCCCTTTGAAGTCAATTTTCCAACAGTTGTCCATACTTGCTGACTACCGTACACTCTGAAATTTTCAAAGGCACTATAGCACTATTGTTTGTGCGTATTATTATTTATATTAAACATTTATACACAGATGCCGTCGTTCACTTTGCTTGCCTTTGATTTTCATGAGCACTCTATGTCATTTGCCCTGAGTGTGGTATGCATACATTTTCATGTATTTTATGAGGTTGTCGTACCCGAAGAAGGACGTTGCCTACCTAAACTGCAACCTCAGTGGTCAATATGCGGAAGAGAAATGTTGCCATGGGCCCAAGTTCACATGTGTTCCCTCCAAAAACAAAGATGTTGCAGATTTGTTCAGGACACTTCTCACAATTCCCAATGCCCCAGGCAAACCAGTGCATTTATTACATTTGTGAATACAGTCGAATCTCGTTAGTACAAACTCTGTTAATACAAAATTCTGGTTATAACAAACATAAAGCCTTAGTCCCGACTGTGCATTTATGTGCACAATGAATGGAACTGATGTTCCTCTTAATACGAAATTCTGATATACATGTAACAAACAATTTGGCTAGGTCCCAACGAGTTTGTATTAACGAGACTCGACTGTACTTGGTTCAAAGAGTTTCTCAAAGCAATACCTATAATTTATGCTTTGATTTGAGTCAAAAACTACTGCTTAAATACAGAATGAGAACAAACACTTAGAGGCAATACAGAACGTATGTAAAGAGCCTAATAATTTGTGTTTGCAGTAAATCTTCATTTTGTGTCTGTCTTAAATGATTGTTTCAGAAATACAACAATGATTGGTGGATAGGCAAGCTGGTACGGGAAGGGTCTGATGTGGGTTTCATCCCCAGCCCAGCCAAGCTAGAAAACATGAGGCTCCAGTCGTCAACAAGTAGGACCAAGCTCATGAACAAGTGAGTTATCGCAAACATTCAGTCTCCCAAATATTCTGCTTTTCTATCCAAAAAAATTGAGCACTTTCTATTTCCTGTGTTCCTCTGTATTCAGTTTTGAGTGTTATGTTTTAGCACTTTGTAAATCTGTGAAAATTTACATTTGTTCTTGTTTGCTTGATTTTTTTTTAAGAAAACAAAATCAGCTTTACCAAATGCTGCACTTTGCTCTGCTGAATTGCTGAGCTTAATGGTTTTTTTTTCAATTCTGAGTTGTTGTGTTTCTGTGTGAGGTTTGAAGTGAGTCTTTTCTCTCAAATAGTCGGGAGCCTGTGATGAGACTAGCCATCTTCACAGAGACACAGACAGTACACGCAGGGAATAAGACTGACATGACAGCAGTTTATCTGTTGGCTACCTGCTTGAAATGCCTTGTAACAAAAAGAGCTAGCAAAAGAGGTTGCTCACCAATCAAGCGCAAAGAAAATAAAAAAATGGACAGAAAAAAGTTTGACAGCCTGCAGGCTGTGCTAAAACTCTTCTAATCTTTCCCTTCTTATCCCCTTCCGTGTTTTCTCCCTTTCGCTATAATCTTGTCTCTTTTGCTTTCCTTGTGTCTTCCTGGAGCACTGCTTGCTCATGTGAATTACAGTCTACATGTACGTCCAGTTGAAGTTGCTGCTTAACGTGGCCAATGGATAAAATGAAACTAAAATCAGAATTTCTTTTGCTAAAAATTGAGGAAACAAAAAGCATTATTTAATCTTGAAGTTTATTTTTCAAAACGATTTCGTAGAAAATCTGAATAAACTTGAGGACTGTCTTTAAAATCTCTATCCCATTCAATTTTTTTCCTGTTAGCAGCAGTTTTGAGTGTGAGCAAATGGAACACAAAACTCGGCCTATATTTGTCCTTCCTCTTTTGGTCACATTCATGCATTCATAATACTCTCATTATAGAACCTACGTACTCTTTGTGTCTACGTAAACCTTTTTATATGTCTGTTGACGAACCACTTCATGTCTGTTTGCCTCTACCATTACCAGAATGGGGGGGGGGGGGGATGCAGTACACTGCATAGCATATCCATCACCGTCTAATTGCGTTTTATAATTAACATAAAAATGACATGAAGACAAAATTGAATCAGCCAATTTGATGAGTGAGGAGCACACTCAACGTTTATTTTTTGATAATAGGTAAAGATTTTGGTAGAGCTACATGTATGTTAAGTGTTAGGAGGGGGGTTAAACAATCAGACAAAAACAAATTCAAATTTTCTAAAGACAATATAATTGCTCGTAATCGAACCTAAGATTAATTATATTAAAGGTTTGAATCAAATCAAATGATAAAATGATAAAATTCGGTAGACAAAACTCAGGACCACAGTATCACATTAAAATTTAAAAACCCAAACATCTATATCTGTCTTTTTTAGAAGGTCAAGTGTGATAAACAAACGTTCATGTCTGTCAGGCCATCTTTGCTTAGGAAACGACAATTCCATTAGAGCATGTCTGATGGCATGTGTTGAAAGGATATCAGGTGCATACGTGTATGGGGGGGGGGGCTCTTTGAAGGGGAAGGTCGTTAGTGGCTCATGAAAAAGAAACATTTCATGTAGCCTCAGCCTGAAAATTCAAACACTTTGTTGCTACCTTCGGAATGTTTTTTATTTGAAAGCGTGTTTGGTGTTCCGGTGATAACATTTCCTAGTTCTCATACCAATCTGAAATCTTACATATTTGAGGTTCGAAAGTCCCACAAATAAAGTGGAGGTGTGCAAACCTAGTCTCTCTAAACATTATCGAGGAACTTCCTCACGTAGTTTCTTTGTATCGTTCTTAATTCACTAAAAATTGAAAATTCAAGCTATTTTCAATCAGCTTTTCTGTAAATATTTCAGGAATCATTATGAGGTACTTGACATGTACAATGAATGTGTGATTTACTTCAGTGTAACAGCACCTTATCAACAAGAAAAACAAAAAACATTGTTTCATGGTTTGGTTTGTCTTCCTTTCCTTGTTCGTCATTTCTTTCTCTCATACTATAGTAGTTTTGTTTTTCGTGTCTCTTACGTGTCGGGTAAAAATATTTCAGAATCCTCATAATGAATTACCTAAAACTCACAAAATGGGAGAAAAGTGTTGATATACATGTAGCACCATTCATGAGAATGTTGACTTTGATATTCTGGCGACTCCGTCATAATTATAAATAACTCTTCTAACTTGTTATATTTTCCAATTTATTCACGAAATACAAATGTGGCGGAGCACTAACAGGTTTCTCCTTTTTGCTATTTTTCCCCCTCGCCTGTTTCTCTTTCTCAACCGGCCCCTAACCCTGATTATCCCCATTTTTATACTCTCGGTCACCAACTGAATGCCTTCCATTGTGTCATAATATCTGCTTACTTTGCTGAATGATATCAAAACTGGTTTTGTCATGTATACTAACCTGGTTTTTGGCCTTTTCTTCTGTCTTCTTCTCAATGTGCTGCTGGTCTGCATGTCACCTGTGCCTTAATCTGCTGCTAAACTGGTTTAACTGTGGCTTTAACGGGTTTAACTGTTATTCATGTTGCCATGTTTTACTTCATTTAACAATGTGTATACTGACTCACCTCCCCATATGGTTTGTGGCTTTGTTTTTGGGCATCCTTGGTTTCAACCACACCCAACCAATGTTGTTAACATGGACAACTGGCTACACGTACACGTGTCCCCCTTTTCGAACCACCTAAACCTGGTTATGCAATCTTGGTTGCGGTACACTTTCATCATTCTTGCTCGGTAACAATCACCATCCTCCAAAAAACTGATGTGTTCACATGAACATGCCTGATGCAACATCACATCGGTTGATTTTTTTTGTATCATTGTGACATTTTGGTCATAAATGCATGATTCATGTATACTAAATCTCAAACTAAAAAACAAAAATCAAAACCGGGATTTCTAAAAAAAACGGTTCTTTCATCTCACATGCACAATCACTTGTCTCCTCAATTAAAAAAACGAAACAAAACCGATCATTGGGTCCCAACAAATGTAGCCGGATGCCCCATTCCCCTTCCGGTAGGATCAACTACCTACCCAACAAAGCCGCAACCCTACCCCTCAACAGCAAAAGTAGTTACCCTACTTCCCCCCGTCATAGCAGGTCTACTAGCGGGCTCAGCTCCACCTCCAACCTGGGCGACATCATGGGACTGGCCAACACCAGGAACGCCAACTCCAGGGGATCCACACCACCCACGCCTGGTAAGTCAAGAGAAATGTTCCACATATATGGACCAACTTCAGTCATTGTTTGCAATGTTTGCTACTCTTTCTTCATTTATATACATTGGCGTAGTGATGGGGGTGGTTTTGGTTTGGGGTTGTGACCTAATTCCCCCTTCCCTTATGAGCCCCCCCCCCAAAAAAAAAAGGGAGGAGGGATGGGAATAAAAGGGGCCGGGGCCATGAATAATAATATGCTGAATGTGCTCTCTGCTCCAGGCCTGTTTGGGCGTGGCGCACTGCATGCAGATGTGATTGAAACTGGCGTATTGAAATTTCGAGGAGAGTTTGCTGGTAACGCATATCCCCCCCCCCCCCCCCCCCGAACAAATTTCTCACTATGCTAAAACGCTTGTTTTGTTTATTGTATCGTGAATCGGTACATGTAAGTGTTCCAGCATGTAGGTTCTCTACAGTCTTTCCATTTTTATTTGCATCGCAAGATTCGGTCACCAGGTTCAAAGGACACTGATATCTCCAAAGTTGGAAGAGACCCTTTTGACACAAATGTTAATTTCAAGATTTTAAGAAGTATTAAAAGTATTTTCCTTTTTGGGGGGAGGTGGAATCCACCAGAATACTTGTGATACCAGTATTTGTTAACTTAACAGCAAAACACACTCCAGGTTTCCCCCAACCACAGCCCTTGCTCCAACCCTCTTCATCCCAACAACTTCACTCTCACCAACCCTAAAAGCAAAAACAAACTGTAGAACCAATTCAAGTCAACTCTGACATCCTTCACCTGAGGCAGCGCGCCAAAAAATGCAGGCCGAATACGAAGTGTGGGAATATTCACAGTGGACCACCTCACACCGATACAGGATTTATGCATGAAGCTGTGCCATGCAAGGGACCTGTATTCATGAAGATAGATGCTTCTTTCCCCCCTACTTTCTCAAAACCTCTGCGGGCCACTTCCGGCTCGGCCGGTGTTCCTCAAGCGCGCCCTGCAAGTGCTTGTTTGTTCTCGGCCTTATTTTTTTTTTATCTTGAAGGAAAAATAAGGGAGGTACTGAGAGGAATGCATCAAGGAATAGTGATCCATTGTGTTAGATGGATGAGATGAATGAAAGCCACCTTTTCAGTAGAACTGTTTGAGTCTGTGGTGTACAAGAGCACGTTCATGTACATGCAACTGCACTGTATTGTTCTATTCCATTTCATGTCTTGGTGCTTAAAAAATGACTGAGCCGGATTTGCCGTCCAAAATCTGCATTATGTATGAGCCCCTCTGATCTGAATCTGGAATTAGTGCAGTACGGTGGTGGCCTGGCATATATTGAAAAACCAAGTCATCCGTTCTCTCAACGAGCTACATAGTCGGACGTGATTTATTTGGTGCTAATTAGCATGCATCATTTTCCACCGCCGCCGCTATTACACTTTCTACGAAATCCTCTCCACGTAGCTTCAATCAGCTTCCGATGTGCGTAATTGCTTCGTCTGGCTGATAAGATTCCTTTCCTTTTAATGGGGTTGCTCAAGCTAACTTGAATTTGAAGGTCAATCTAAAGTATATTCATTTCCCCCCCAGAGTCGTTTCTGAATTATCTGCATTTGGTTGGTTTCAGTAAAAGCATTATCAAAGTACCGGTACATGTGCATTTTATGTTCCACAGGGCCAAGATATATTATAATTTGTTGATATTTGATACCGCACAGATGTTGTAACACATTCCTAGAGTTGCACAGGTCACTCACACAGTCGTGCTTTTCTATACGCCCGAGGACAATGCTTTGTGTTTCCCTTTGTCCCTGTCATATAACACTCTCCCATAGACTAAGCACATAACCGCATTGAGGACTGTTTCCAACAAAACACCCAACGCTTGAGGACTGAAAGGTTGTTTTGTTCTCCCTTTGTGTGTTTGTCCTGTATCGTAAAGCCATACATGCACACTTAGACCTGCGCATTGCTCTAACCTTAATACTTTCGCAAAGACCAAAGATAGTGTAGCATTGATCATATTGACATGTTTTACACTTGAGGTTTGGTGGATTTGAATAACTACAATCCATATTTAAGAGTTTCAGGTAAATTAAGAAATAAGCATTGAGTTGAAGATTAGAATGTTTAACTGTCGCCATGAGCTTGTAACCTGAAGTTGAGATGTAAACAAGATGTGTGTTTATATTAATTGCTTCCGGTATCTTATCAGCACGATGGAAGATATCAGCACAGCCATACATACATGTACATTCATGACATATTTACATAGAGGAGCATACCGTACTTACATATGGAAAAGGCTTTCACATAAAAACATCATGTTCGAAAAAGGATGTATAGAGGTGCTACATGTTCTTCCACACACCCCCCCCCCAAAAAAAACCCCCAAAACTAGAAAGTAGTACCAGCTTAAAACATGTGTTTTTCATAAAATTGAATTTCTTTTTCCCCTCATGTATTTTTGAATTTGTGTGTTTTGTTTTAACAAAAAAACTACTTGATTCCAATTTCGTGCGTCTGCAACCCTCTGAGAAAGGAATTTTGTTTTGCGCACAAGTGAACCCGGCCTGCAAGAGCCGATTTACACAAATTGTCTGGCAGCCAATAATTTGATTTTTGTGAAGAAATGATTTAATAACTAAACGTCAGTGGATTCTTTTTCGTCCAATGTCTCATGCAAAAGTGAATGACTTTTATATTTCTAGGAAAATAGCAATTGAAAAACAAAATCTAATTTTCGAGGTGAAACTGGAAAGTAGCACGGGGAACGCGACTTTAATTAATAGAATTCAGCTGTGGCACCTCGATTCTGTCTTGGGCCGTGTCGCTCAGCGCCATTCGATCGCAGCTCACAGGGTTGGCTTTCCATTCGACATGTCCACAGCTGCAGCTCTTGGGGTGTTTATTACAGAAGCGGAGGGGGGGGGGGGGCATAAAGAGGCATGTGGCCATTTTGTGTCCGTGCACAGAGCCACACAAACTCTTGCTGTTGGTCATAATGGGAGGCATAACCCCTGAAAAAAAGAATAAGCTTTACTCCACTGCCTCATTTACCCTGGACGGTATTTAACCTATACCACATCTCTATTTTCTTTATTTTAGGATTGCCACTACTAAATACTGTGTTCAATGGGGGGGGGGAGTCCTTGTGAGATTCTCTGTGCTGGAGGCTATTGCGGAAAAGTAGTTAACATAGGGACACAAAGCACAGTTTTCTGCTATAAAAGGAAATACTTGACAAGAAAGCCAAGGGCACGAGGTTGTGAAAAGCACACATTAGACACAGAGTAACACACCGGAATGCACCTCAGCTAGGAATGTTACAACTAAACAACAAATAGAAACCCAGCTAAAATCAAGTACATGAAGGTTATCAAGTTGTAACCAGTTGTAAATTTGTAATGGCTGTATATCTTGACGTGGGTGAAGGCTCAGAAATGACGAAGCTAATTTAAGGACGTTGTTAGAACAGGATTTGGCTCTCACTAGATTGCGATTGCCAAGCAGGAGCAAGACAATTGATCCTTGCCTCTTTGGGATGTCTGGATCCTCTGAGATTCTCAAATGGACACTTTAAAGAAGGGGGTTGTTTTTACCCTGAGCCAATCGGCTGAGTGAGTCAGCGCCCGGCAGATGTGTGGGAGAAAAGGCCCCCGTACCCTCCCAGGGAATTGATCAGTATTCATGAGATAGCAACCGTGCACCTTTCTTCTTTTTTAGAAGCGTTCCAAAATAAAACCTGTCAGAAACAAGGCTCGAGTTACCTAGATAATTCAATCCGTTTCCGTGGGTGTGAGTTCCTCAACTCCCGGCGACTGGCCTAGAAACAGTGTTTTTCCCATTCTAATCCCTTCCTTTTTTACATGGGAAGGAAATGAACTTTTGTTTGCATTTACTGGCATGATAGTCTCATTAGGAAATGTATACATGTACATTGGTTCTTGTGGGTGGTTTGATTTAGGTATTGAGTTAAAAAGTGCTTTACTGTTAACACACTTTGTTCAATTTTCATTGTACAATCACAGTACTTTAAGTATTTTATGCATTGTTTTCGTCTCGCCTGGACTTTGTTCAGGAAAGAGACTATGCAATTACTATGTCTGTAATAATGTACATGTATGTGGTATTTTGGTTAAAGTTTTGTAAAATTGGTCTCATTTCAAAAGTTGAAGTCCAATTGGTACCAAACTTGAATCAAAGATGCAACATGGCAACCTTTATATGATAATGATGTCAAAAGTCACATACCAAGATCAAAGGTCATCTGAGGGCAAGTTGAAATGGGCTGAAAATGTAAAATTGGTCTCATTTGAAAAGTCGAAGTCCAATTGGAACCAAACATGGGTCATAGATGCAACATGGTAACCTTCATATGATGATGTCAAAGGTCACATACTGAGACTAAAGGTCACTCTTTAAAGACAATCACGAAAGCAGGCGAGATGCACGGTTTGAGAACAGCCTTGTTTAGTTAGTCAGGCAGCTGTCTGAAAAAAGACAAAACTATTCCCTCCCAAACAGAATCTGAATGATAAAGATAAAGAACAAGAATTCATCCACACTTTAAGCACAATACTCCTGGGCTCTTGACTATTTGGAGCAGACCCCCAAATTTGGCTTCTGATATTTGTTTCCAGCCACAACGGCTGCTCGTTGGGGAGCAACGGCTCAGGAGGTAAAATGAAAAGAAGACAGTTGTCTTGACACATACACATATATGTATGCAATAATTACACACTGGCGCTCGCTGTGTGAACCTGTGACATTTTCTCCAGGAGTTCTGTCCGTCTTCTGGGATGAACTGTTTCAACATCTGCATCTCATTTTCTTTTCTGTTGTCCACTCGATCTCTTCTTTATTACGGAGTCAACAGTTTGGCAACGGCTCTGTTAGTTGTTTGATGCGATCTGTGACGTGCAAAAACACTTTCCGAAATTGAAAAACAGACAGGTATTTGCAAATAGATGAAAATGCCAGACACTTTTGCAATTGCTCTTTACATTTACATGTAAGTTGCCTGATGCTG